TAGCCTGGGTACGCACTCGTCACCTTGCGTACACGGCGCTCCCATAACACAACACTACCAAATCCTAAGGGGATTTTTCTGCACAAGGTTAGGCAAGCTACTTACCTCAAACCAAGCTCAATCAATTAGTAAGAATGCCTTTTCCACGATTTTTCGACTCCGAATGGCCTAAATCTAGCCAAAAGCAATTTCATACCATAAATATAACTATAATAAACTTATCTAATTAATAAAATCAAGGGTTAAGCAAGAAATTAGAAAATTGTCGCAAAAAGTCGACCCGGGCCCATGTATCGGAATCGGGTAAAAGTCAGAAAATATGAACACCCATTCACTCACGAGTTCACTCGTACCAAAATTATCCAAATCAGATATCAAAATCCAAATCAAAATCAAAACTTAGTTGAAGAACTTTCCAACTTTTCCCCAAATTTCTCAACCCAAATCCTCAATTAAATGATGAAATCAACTATAGATTAGTGGAATATAACCATAAATGAGTTAAGAATCGTTACCCAATAGCTTTCTATAAAAAACCCTTGAATTATCGCCTCAATCCGATCTCTCAAAGTCCCAAAATTGAAAATGGGATAAAACCCTCGAACTTGGCCCTTTTCTGCCAAGTGATTTCGCTTCTGCGGGCTTTCAGTCGCACATGCGACGCCGCACCTGCGGAAATACCATCGCAGGTGCGGAATTGAATTAAGAGTCATGGGTCCGCTTCTGTGATGAGGTGGTCGCACCTGCTCGTGCACACCTACGGACAATGGTCCGCTTCTGCGGACTTCTCCTTCACGTTCACACTCCGCATCTGCGGGTCCCTTAGCGCATCTGCAGTCTCGCAGATACGGCATTTCCCTCGCACCTGCGACCTTCGGCCCCAATTCCAATTTCACTTCTACGCTTGACCTCACGCAGGTGTGTATCCACACCTGCGGTCACCCCACTGCAGGTGCGATTACACAAGAAGCTTGAAAGCTTTAGCAATTTACACAAGTCCCATTTCAGTCCATTAAGCACCCAAAGCTCACCCGAGGCTCTCGAGACCTCAACCAAATATACCAATAAGTCCTATAACACCACACAAACTTAGTCGAGCCCTCAAATCACATTAAACAATGCTAAAAACACGAATCACCCTATAACTCAAACTTATTGAACTTTGAAACTCCAAACTTCTACAACCGATGCCGAAACCTATAAAATCATGCCCGATTGACCTCAAATTTTGCACACAAGTCATAATTGAAATTATGGACCTGCTCCAACTTCTGAAATGAAACCTGACCCCGATATCAAAATGTTCGTTTCTGGTCAAACTTCCCAAAAATTCAACTTTCGTCGTTTCAAGCCTAATTCAGCTACAAACCTCCAATTCAAAATCCGGGCACGCTCCTAAGTCTTAAATCATCCTACGGAGCTAACGGAACCAACAAAACTCCATTACGGAGTCGTCTTCATACAGTTTCAACTACGGTCAAAATCCTAGAACTTAAGCTTCTGTTTTAGGGACTAAGTGTCCCAAATCACTCCGAAACCAAAAATAAAACCTCCCGGCAAGTCACATAAGTAGAAAAGGACACGGGAAATCAAAAAAAAGGGGATCGGGGCTAATACTCTCAAAATAACTGGCCTGGTCGTTACATTATTGCTTGTTTTGAGACTGCTTCACATGCTGTTTGGATAAATAAATTTCTTACTAAATTGCAAATTGTGGATTTTATATCTAAACCGGTAACTATTTTCTGTGACACAGTGCAACTGTGTTCTTCTCTAAGAATAACAAGAAAATAAGAAGCTCTAAGCATGTTAGCCTTAAGTTTCTCAAGGTTAGAGACATGGTAAAAGAAGGTTATATATGTATTAAGCATATTAGCACAGAATTTATGTTGGCTGATCCTTTGACTAAAGGTCTTAGGCCTGTAGTATTTAATGAACATATTAAAAACATGGGTATTTTAGAATCTTTTGATGTGCTTTAGTTAGTGGGAGTTACTTTGTAATTGCTGACTGAGATATGCTTTTAATAAATTCTATTTTTATTTCATAGTTGTTATGCTCATTGACCAACATGATAATTTATTTATTTTTTATTCCCAATTGGATATTGCATAAACTCATGGTATCTTTGAGTTTTGCTGCTTGTTGCCTTGATTATCCCGGGTAAGGTACAAGGAAAACATCCTGAGGTGATATAATTTTTATGTCACTTGGAGGCTCTTGAGGTGATATGGTTATAATATCACTTGGAGAATTATTATTTTTCTAAGAGGTGTGGCTCAGTTCACCTTGATTAGAAAGATAACATTCTTAGCACACATGTTTGATCCAAGTTGATGGAAATTCTAGCACATGTGATCATAGAGAGAACTCATACCTTGAAATAGTGTGATGCCTGCTACGATTCATTGTTAGTGTTCTCCACTGAAACTGGATGGATTGTTATATGGGTCATTCTATCCTTGGCTATGTGAGTAGTGTGGCCACTATGGAGTCTAAAATCTTTTTTAAAAAGATTTTTCTCAAAACTCCAAAGTTTTAAAATTGTTTTCTTGTCCTCAATTAACATTAGCATCCAAGTGGGAGATGTTGAAATTTGGACTTGTGTTAATTGGTTATAGCCTGAAAGGATAGTGACGTGGCCCAAGTGGTGGATAAATAAAAGGCCTTAAATATTATATGTGTGGATAAGTGAGGCCCAATAACAATTGGCTTGTGATTGGTAGGCACTCTTTATAAATAGAGGCCAACTTCCCCCCTTTCCCTAGGTATTAGAAAACCCTAGCGTATTCTGTCTCTTGAATACGTGGTAACGGTAGACGTCCCATCAGTCAAGTTCTTCGGGCTGCGCTCCATCAGTCAAGTTCTCCGGACTGTGAGAGCGCATAGCTAGTGGATCGTGGAAGTTGGTCTCGGGCTTAGTCGCTGTTTGTTGTCACTGCTGAATCCATGGAACTTAACGGTACGCTTCCTTAAACTAACTCTAGATTGATTGTGTAACTGTGTCTTAATCTCTATTATCGCTACGAATCTTACAGTCTATGCATTGATAATATCAAAAATATTATGCAAAAGGTATTTACATAATCAGGTTATTTATTAGGTAATTGTATGTAAATCTTTTTATAAGCATTAAATTGTAATCTAGTAAAAGTAGAGGCGAAGCCAAGATTTGAACTCCAGAATTCTAAATTTTAGGATAAGGACATAAGATGTTATTAGCTGAATTTTAAATTTAATTATTGTACATATAATACAAATACAGAGTTAGGAATAAAGCTACCAGGTTGGGCCGGAGAGTATGAGCAAATTATGTTATATACCTATTCTAGCAAAAATAATTACCCGTCTTTACCTATTCTGAAAATAATTACAATATATACCTATGCAACCAAAAGTAATTCCCCGTTAATCCTTCTTCCTGTTTTATTCTTGTTAAAGCTAATTTTTCTCCTCCTTTTTGCTTTCTTCTCTTATCATTTTCTCTGCTCTTTCTCTTTCTTTCCTTTTGCCAATATCCTTACAATTTTTCATTAGATATATGATCTATCTACCTCTCTCTCCTATCTTTATCATTTGTCCAGCAAAAAAAAGGCTAAAAAAGAAAGATCTATCAAAAAAGGATAAAAAAATTTAAGATTTTAGTTTGCTACAAATTTATGAGGTTATGTATGTAATAACAAATTTTAATTGCCGACACTCTTTGTGGCAAGTTTTGGTGTTAATGATGATTTTTTGAAGATTTAACTGTGACAGACATTAATCTGCCATTGGAGGACCTTGAAACTTGAAACTCATAAATTGGGTTTGTTGAGTTTGTGGTTATTTTGATCCGATTCTGACTAGGTATGTTCGAAATATTAGTTGGAGGAAGTGGCTATATTCTGAGTCAATTTGGTGGAGATTTTAGACTAGATTTTTAAACTTTGGGTTGAAATTGAGTTGAACTAGCAAAGAAGACAGATTTGTACTGTATACCAAATGGTATATTGCTTGTTTAGAATTTAAAATTTTTATTTTTGAAGTATTTCTTGTTTGATTCAAAGTTGGTGCTGTTAAATATTGCTTGTAATACATTCTGGAAATTCATACTGAAATTTGATAGCATTTGGAGCTTGATTTGAGGGTGTTGAAATCGAATTTTCAGCTGAAAATCGAAGAAGAACACAACTACCCAATAGTATACTGCTGCGGTATACTAATAGCTGTAGGAGTATATAGCTATACTGCAACAGTATACTATAGGAGTATATAGTTATACTGTAAAGTATACTATTATAGTATACAATAATATTGTTATAGTATACATATGTACAATATGCAGTATATTGTAACAGTATGTTGTAATAGTATACAATATACTATAATATATATTATTTACCCGTAAATTCACTTGCCTTTTCCCTTTTAATTTGCTTTAAGTGCTTACCCAACATGAGAGACAAACTGAAAATGCAAAAAAAAAAAAAATTATAGTATGCTATATAATGTAACGGTATACTCTTACAATTAGACCCTTTTAGAATTTTTTAAATTTTTTATTGACAACTGATATTATTTCAGTTTAATAATTGAATTACTTTTTTTTAACTCTTTACGTACAATTGTATACCCTGTTGGTATAGCTATATACTATATGGTATCATATGTTAGTTAATATTTTCTGATTGTATTAGCTACATTTAATTGGTACACAATTTGATTTTTCTTTAGTAATAACATAAAATAAAATAATAATAATAAAAATTAGTGAAAACATTAAATGAAATTATATTATGAAGAGAAAAAAATATAATTAAAAAAAAGAAGTTAAATGATATTAGAAAAGGAAAAAAGAAAAAGATAAGAAGAAAACAAGAAAAAAGAAAAGGAGAAAAGAAAAAGAAAAGAAAAAAAGAAAGAAAAGAAGCATAGAAATAAAAAAGAATTGGAGAATGAAGAAAAAATTCTCCACAAAAACTATTATGGGTAGGAAATATAATTAAATTATGGGTAGAAAAACAAATGGGTAGACAAGGATAAATAGTTTCGTTTTTGTAGGTAACTGTGTCAAAAACTTACATGTTCCACGTTGGAATTCAGTTAGTCTCCTTATGACTACAGTTGAGTACTCATTTCTCTTACTCAGTAACTCTCATGTTAAGAACTTGTAAACTGTAGTCAAGTTCTAGAACTAATTTCCTATTTACAAATAAATGATAAGGTAAGCATTTTCTTTACTACTTCCTGATAGACGTGCTAACTTGTTAACAGAGAATATGATGAGAAAGCCATTAGTAATATGAAGAATGACATACATCTAATTAACTTCAAAATTATTCTTTAAACTTCCCTCTAAACGCAGCCAGTCGAGTGACAAAGTCATCGTAGTCTGGTAGCTTGGGATGGATATGCCCATTTGGACTCAACATATCTTGCTCAAAGGAATTTGCCTCTTCTCTGACTTTGAGTGCTGGACTAGCATGTTCCAATTCAATAGGAGTAGTTGCTGCTCGGCCTGATGGACTCTGCCTTGAAACTTCACAAGCGTCAACTTCAGCTATTTTAGGTAGCTTAACAACTGGTTTTGGTTTCTTAATTTCATTCTGAAGCTGTTTCTGAGTATAGTGTATTAAAAGCCTGTCCATCATCTTTTCCTCTTCGTCGCGCTGATCACCTTTTGTGATTCTTATCCCACGTTTTCCATTATCTTTCACTCCACTAGTGAGGCCCTTTCCTTTTTCCTCGCCTTTCAATCTATCCGAGTCCTCCTCAGAACCACGCATCGGCTGCAGACGTGTCCTCCTAACTGATTTTGGTTTTGGCTTTTTGAGTGTATCATTTACACAAGTATCTTCTTTTTTGGCCATCTGAACCCTCATCTGATTTATCTCTGTATGTCCCTCTGCCTCCCTAGTGAAACCAATAGGAGATTCCTCTGAAGTGCTGTTTGTAATGCATGCTTTGACTTGGGGCTGAAATGACCTATAATAGAACGGCTTCTTGTCATCAGATTCTTCTTTAGATACACAGCTACCCATATCTGGTTCATTTTGTTTCCCTTTTTTGCCATCTTTGATTGGAGTTATGTCATCCAAATTTCTGTTGGATGCGAGACTTAAATTATCTCTTTTTTGTTTGTCACTGTCCCTTCCCTTAGGCAAACTATTCTTACTTCCATAAGATGAATGATGTTCCCTTTTCGCTTTACAAGTTGTATGTTGCCTCGCATTCTCATGATTAAATTTAGCATCTTCATGTTCTTTTCTCTGAGTTGATTCGTCTGTTTTCTTGTACAATTTATGCTCTTTATCATTGTGACTCTTGGGCCTGTCCTGTAAAAGATAGAAATAAGGTGCAAAAGAAGTCTGAACATATCTTCACTATGTGTAGCCAAAGAAATGTTGAGGAACTCCTTTATGATAGTAATGCAAGTTCATTTATATCCCAACAAATGACAAGATTCATAAAACTTACTTGTTCAGACATCAGTTGTTTATATAGCTTCTGCTCCAAATCCCTTGAGTTCCATTTTATACCAGATTCTACTGCTATATCTCGCATCAATTGAAGCTTCATCTCCTTTGTTGGTGGTTGTGACTTTAGCTTTTCAACAAACTGTCAAGAAATGAAAATGTATTTTAAATAGAGGAAGAAAGAGCTCCAGGTCAAAGTTTATGTGTGAGTACTATTATGTACGTTGCTGAACACATTAAGTAAAAAGGGCCGCCCGGTGCACTAAGCTCCCGCTATGCACGGAGTCCGGGGAACGGCCGGACCACAAGGGTCTATTGTACGCAATCTTACACTGCATTTCTGCAAGAGGCTGTTTCCGCGGTTTGAACCCGTGACCTCGTGATTACATGGCAGCAACTTTACCCAACGGCTCCCTTTCGAGAAGACATTAAGTAACTACCTCTTTATTCACAAAAGTTACAAGGGAATTTCCATATCTNATCCACGTAATTCTGGAAGATCAGAAAATCTTGCTGCTGCAAACATCAACGTCGACACAGCTTCTCTGCAATCCTCAGGGCACTCCCTAAAAACAAGAATTACCCAGAAATAATTAACAAGTGGCGAGAAGAGGAAGCAACATATTAATATGACATGATTTCCACTATACGCAAACGCAATATTAACAATTCAGCCTACGACCACCTAAATGAAAAATTAAGGGATAGTTATATTTTTAGGCCGCCTTAAAAAATAATAACAGGCAAATGTATATGTTTTGTATATATATATATATATATATATATATATATACATCAGTGCATATGCTGGCAAATAATTAATTTTGGTCGATGGCCCAAAAATGAAAAAAGACCAAAAACTAATGCACGTACCTCTGTTTACTCATGATAGCGAGGTGACTCGAAATATGCAGACAATATTGCTCCAAGATATCATAACAGATGGAGATATTGAGCTCAAAGATTAGGCCTTCAACCTGTTGCATTAACAACCAGAAACTTTATGTCAAAATAAGGCTTAAAAATTCCAGAAATGGCATTAGCATGAAACAAGTAACAATATTAAGGCCTAGGAAATTCTACAGTCTGCATTATAATCAAACAGAAAAAGAATTCAGAAATCTGAATTTTGGTCTTAAAAATCCTCTAATTAATAGGGTTATTATTATTGAGGGTTCGTTGCTTTCAAAATACTTTGACAATAAGTTTGAACACGGAACATCTTTGCAAACAACCACCAAATTAGAAACTAAAAGATAAATACAAACAAGATGTAACTAGAGGCAGACAGGTACTTGGTTCCAATGGAAAACTATTGCTTTCGATTCGAACTACGTAAGCATATAAAAAAACATTTACTAACATGTATGCATATAATACGGAACACACTAAAACATTTGGATAATTTATTGAAAGGGAAAAGAGAAATTTTAATATCAAACCAATTAAGCAACAAGAAAAGAAAATCACCCGGTTGTAGGCGTTGACATCCAATCCAGATTTAAGAAGATCAGCCATATCATTCTTCAAGTATTTAAGCATAGCTTCTCTCTTTTTTCTGATCATCTCGATTCGAGTCTTTGTCAACTTGATCACAGACTTGCTGCACCAAACAAATCACACTCACAAAAACGAGCAATACATTGATGAGAAGTAAAAGAAAAAAGAGCTTTCAGATCTCTCTATAATAGTCATCATTCACTATAAAAGCCAAGTTATTCATGAAACCAATTTTCATGCTATGTTGTAATATATGTTCTATATTCACTATAATATCCAAATAATTAAATTCGGAACAAATGAAATTATTATATAAAGAGGTTTGACTGTATATTAAAAGAACAAGACAGGTGACAGTTGCAGAATTGACATCCGATCGTTACCATTTGGTGTAGAACCTGCTTTTTAACAATGCGTCAAACATTTTTAACCTCTTGGATTACCTAGGAGTTTATGATATCGAAATCAGCAGCTGGTTTACGATACAAAAATGCGATTCAAATTCACGTCAAGAATAGACCTGCAGGAAATAACTGGCGAAGAAATAAAAAACAAAAGAAAAAGAAGTACGTAGCTTTGGCGAAGAAGGAAACTTTATGTTGAAGAACAGAACTGAACTCATAAGAAATTGAACAAGGAAATGAATCCAGTTGTTTCAGGATAGAGCAATATTAATCTTATACGATGAATTAAATGCACAATACTATGTTAAAGCAAAGGTTTTGGAGCGAACGAAAGGGTAATATGGGAAGAATTTTTAACTAATAATTTAAAGCAATGAATTATGATAATTAGAACTTAACGTTTGCCCTTGACAATGTATATGACCTAGCTATAACAACAGGTAACTCACAATAGACTTAATTAATAACGTGGTATAACCGGTTAAAAAGATTAACAATGTGCAATTCTTTTTATTTATATTGATAGTGTATATAAGTTACATTCTTATTATTGCAGTATTTGATTGTGAAAATAGCAAGGGTTAGTCAGTTTTTGGACTTGTAATCGAAAAATAGTCAGTGTTTGCAAAGTCATTGAAAAATAGTTATTGTTTTGCTGAAATACGGAAAGTTCCAGCATAATATACGGGATTATGAAGCTCCTGCATATAAACTTTCCTCATATTATGTTGGAACTCCAACACATACAGCACATTATGTTGGATGCTCATATGTTAAAAATTTGAACTTCAACATATTATGCTAGAATATTTCCGGATTTTAAAGGTATTTTTGTTCAGATTTTTATCTGTATATGAAAAAATGACTAAATTTCGATAACTTTTAAAATTGTGACTATATTCCAATTACCAGCTATAAATATGATTATTTTTTATGTTTTCCCTATCTAATTTGATCAAGTCATCAAACAACACAAGATAGAGGGATGAGTTGGACGGCCACTATTGCCTTGTCGTTTCACATTTGTCACTAGCTCCCAATGACCTTAATTATGTTTATATTTAGGTCGTAGTTGCAAAGAAAATAGTAGTATGGTGGTCAACTATTTTTGTTTTCCCCTAAGATTTCGGTAATCAGTGTGCACATTCGAACATGGAATCTGGTTTGGGGGTAGAGTAATTATTATTATGGTGTGGGGACTCTCTCCGTTCTTTAATAATTCAATATAGTGCCATTTGCTTCTAAACCAATTGATGCTAATCATACATTGGCGACTTAACCGAAACTCTCCGCCACATCATATCCATCCTAACAAATCTACTTAATACACTAGCTAGTGTGTGTATATATATCTCCAAAAGAACGAGATGAACTCTCTCTTTCTATAATGCACAACTTCATTACAAACTTTTTTGTAATGAATGACATGATACTTTAAACAAGATCTTTTTCGCCGGCGCATTTCAAATATAAAGTTAGCAGTGTTGTCGTCTTGCACTTGTAAATGTAGAAGAAATCAATTTGATACACAGGGGTACTCCATTTGAACATTATCGTCACCCATTAAACTTAATTATTGTCTTTAATAATGAATATTTGAGACCATTTGTTTACTTATATAATATTAACTATTGAATAAATCTCTTCATGTCTTTATTCGAAATCTGAGACTTAATAATAACACTTGTTGAACTTGGCCAAACACGAATTATTGCTCAAAAATGCCTTTCAGATTGATTAGCCAAACACAAACTGCTTCTCTGCAAAAGTACTTTTTCGAAAAGCACTTTTCAAAATAAAGTTTAGAGCCCGTTTGGCCAAGCTGTCAAAAATTACTTATTTTGAAAAGTACTTTTCTTCAAAAGTGCTTTTCGAAAAAATTATTTGGATATTAGTAGTTTGTATTTGTTCAATTCGTTTGAGAAGTACTTTGATAAGCAAATTATTAGCCCGTTTGGCCAAGCTGTCAAAAATTACTTATTTTGAGAAGTGCTTTTTCTCAAAAGTACTTTTGGTGAGAAGCAGTTTGTGTGTGGCTGATTAATTTGAAAAGCACTTCTGAGCAGCAATTAGTGTTTGGCCAAGCTTTAAAAAACTGCTTCTAAGTGTATTTTTCTCAAAAGTGCTTTTGGAGAGAAGCTACATTTTTCTGCTTCTCCAAAACTGCTTCCGCTTCTCCTCAAAAGCATTTTTTTCTTTTCAAAAGCTTGGCCAAACACCTTAATTTTAGAAAAAAAACACTTTTGACAAAAAAAAAAAAATGTTTTTGCCTCAAAAGAAGCTTGGCCAAACATGCTATATATTTGGCTAATCTTTTCAAAAAGTACTTTTGATTGTCAAATTACGAAAAAGGACAATAAATGTTTAATTTACAATTAGCATTATTTGAAAAAGAGGAATTTTAAATATCTATTTTAAAAGAATTTAATTAATATTTTTATTTAATTAAGTATAAAAAATTTAATCAACATAAAATATAAGTATATAAAAGCAATAATATTGGTAGGCATATGTGCTTACAAGTTACATGTATGAAAATGTCATGACTCAAAAATCACTAGGCGTGATGGCACCTAACTCGATCCGCTAGGTAAACCAACTAACAGAAAATACAATCCAAATGAGATTATAGGAAAATAGTAAAGAGTTATCTGAACATTTACAAATTGACCCAAGAACTCGTAGTACGAATCACGAGCTTCTAAAACTTGGAATTTGCAAAACTGGTACAAAACATTACACGTTTTGTTTGAAAGATACATATATAGAATAGCAAAATCTAAGCTACCAAGAACAAGTGGCAGTTAAATCAGCACCCGACATCACCAGCAGATCTGCTCCAAAAATCTGCACGCAATGTGCAGAAGTGTAGTATCAGTACAACTGATCCCATGTACTGGTAAGTATCTTGTCTAATCTCGTCGAAGTAGTGACGAGACTTTTTAGTTTAAAGATACTCACTGATGAAACCTGCACCATAATCAGCAATAGAATTATACTACGATATAACAACAAGGAATACATGAAACAGATATACAAAATAATAACTCAGTGTTAGCGGAGATCACAAATTTAGCAACTCCCGCTACCTCAACCAATCTTTCCCTTCAAACGAAAGCCAATAAACCACGACAGTCACTCCATAACTTTCATAGCATGAGGAATGTACTCAGATATCAAGTAAATTACACAGCAACACCTTTCGTACTTTTATCTCATCCTCACCCAATATATGTATAACAGTCCCAACCGATAACAGGAATTACAAAGTAGGAATTATGCAAGTAACAATAATGAACAAGGATATATATGTGGGCAACAGAAATAGACTAGGCAGAAGGCATAAGAGTAATGCCAGCAATTAGGAAAACACGGAATATCAACTTCAGCTAACTAGTATAGTGGAGTCTTGGGTACGAGCATAACAAATGAGAAAGGAACACATGATCTTTACGAGTTAACAAGTAGAGGCATGAATGACTAGCATGGTGGAAGACTTGTACTAAAGTGCAACAGAATAGATACGACATGAGTATAATTGTAAAAGCAAGAAATAGGCATGGTATTTGCAAGTTAAGCAAGTAAGAGGTATGAGCAACACAACAACAATTGAGATAGAGATCAATGACAGAACAATAGCAACAAGTCACATCAGTTCTACAATTATGACAATAACAGCTCAAGGTACAGACATGAACGTATACATGGAAAACCAATATCACAACATAATGCATATCCCTCAACCTCACCTGCACGGAAACACCCATCGTGCCTTGATCTCACGGTAATATAAAAGCATAACAATATAAATGAAATGGCACGGCATCACCCTTCGTGCTTTTACTTTCAATGATATGGAACGGCATCACCCTTTGTGCTTTTGCTCTTAATCATGTAGCACGACATCATCCTTCGTGCTTTTACTCCCAATAATATGGCACGGCATCACCCTTCGTGCTTTTACTCTCAAATGATATGGCACAACATCATCCTTCGTGCTTTACACTCTCCCTCACAAGATAATGTATAAACAATGGCACGTCATCACCCTTCGTGCTTTATACTCTTCTTTACCAAGCATATGTATATCAATGACAAGCAGGGCAGAAAGTATAATTAATATCAAGGAGAGTGTTTAAACGAATATTCCAAACAAATCCCAATCACGACTTTCCAAGCCAACAAGGATTCAATAAACCCTCAAAAATCGTATTATTCAAGTACTTCCACAAATCTTACGAATGATCGACCATACAAGTATAGAATCTAGTATCTCAAGAATATCAGCTGTAGCAATTCATTAATGATTACGCATAGTGATGACCGAATTAGACACATCAATGTATTCTCAGAAATTCCATCAAATTTGATCAAGTTATAATAAGCTAAGTCTTGATTTCTAACCTTTAATACTATGTTCTTTATATCTAGAAGTCAAGTGAGGCATGAAGCAAGAAGGTCACGAAATTCTACAAGACACAATTATAACATAATCTACCCCCGAGCATGATTAACCCTGGCATATACATATACGCTTGTCACCTCATATATGTATCACCCCCGCATGTAGAAAACAATGTCAAATAGTAGGAAAAATTCCCTCAACAAAAGTTAGGCAAGACACTTACCTCAATTCGGCTAACTGAACACTCAATTTAGCCTTTTTACATTACCAATTCACCTCCGCTCGGCTCAGTCTAGCCAAAGACGACTAGAATGCATCACATAATGCAAGAAAAAACAATTTCAATTAATAAAGCTGTGATTTTATTCAATTTCTAAAACGTCAACAAAAGTCAAACTCCGGGCCCGCCCGATCAGAACCCGGATCCAAGGGTAGGTCTTGACTACCCATATCCTCACGAGTCCAAATATGTATTTTGTTTTCAAATCCGAGTCCTATTCGACTCTTAAATCCTAAATTTCATTTTTTAAAACTTTGACAAAATCCCCAAATTTTTCCTTAGATTTCTCATGAATTTGATGTTAAATATTGTATAAAATCATGAAATATAGTTGAAAATTGATTAGAGGTACTTACCCAATGATTTGGTATGAAAATCTCTTCACAAAAGTCGCCTCTCATCGAAGCTAGGGTTCAAAATATATCAAAAATCAAGCTAAGTCTTGGAATTCTCAGCATTTAACAGGTTGCAGATGTCGCATTTGCGATAGGGAGTTCGCAAATGCGACCCCCCGTAAACGCGAACAATATATCGCAAATGCGAACAGGAGGCTTTCCTGCCAAGGCCGCATTTGCGACCAAGGGCTTCACAAATGCGAAAAGGGACCATCGCAAATGCGAGGAATCTTCGTAAAAGCAGATTCCTGCCCAGCAGCCTGGGATAGCAAATGCGAGCCTGCTTCGCAAATG